CCCTTAAATATTTCCCAGTCAGCTGAATCACCCTGTATTACTAAAACATATTTATTATGGAATGCGACAGGATGCCGTATATCAAAGAATCCACTATGAATTCCCACTTTTGCCACGTTGAATTTTTAAATTGAGATTTTTCATATCTAGTAATATTTCTCCATATTTACATATCTCATAAAGAGGCTCCTGATGCAAGAAAGGGGAGATATTTCTATATATGTTCGCCAGTTTTAGCCTCCGGTAACAATAGCTTCAATAGTCAGTGGCGTATAACTTCTAAAACAAATAATTTAATAGGTTTTTCCATCACTATAGTAGTAAAGATGAAGGATTTGATTCCTAACCAAAAGTAAGATAATTTAGTGTTACATAGTGGTAAATTTTCTACCATTTAGTCGAATGGGCGAGCAAATTCCCACGGGACTGTAAAAATCCCTTATACCAGGTCGATTAATTAAAAGCTCATTCCTGATGTACTAATTAATCTTGTAGCGAATAAACCGGTGAGCGTTCCATTAGACGAAACGAAAGGTAGCGCAAACGTTTGTCCCAGGACCAATTCCATTTGTAAACTTTCGTCATTCGTCGCCGGTTATTCAGCGATTCTGGAACAGATGAATTATTTACTTCGCTCGCGAATAAATCGGGATTACTCGAAAGTTTTGATCGATATGGAAAGCCCGCCGTAGTTTTCTGATCGGGCGCTGCGTTTATAAAATCGGATGGGATTTTCTTGGGGAATTTTATACGTCTGATGGACGGTAATTTATGCGGAATCGGGATCTTCTTCCGCATAATAAACGCCTTCATTAATGTGGGAATTTAAATCAACCGTCCTAAATCAACAACTCTAATGGTTTGTGTAGGTACTAATGAGATTCAATCCCTCAGATGGAATAATTGCGTTCTATAGTTTTAATATAAACGTACCGAAAGTGACCGTTGGTCTAGTTTAATTGCTTATAGTAGATTCCAGGGCGAGCGTCCGGCGAATTTCTGTAGCTAAAACCAAATCCAAGCGTTTTGTATCATAATCAGCTTCCGCAGGAGCGATGCTCCTATAAAAGGCCGCATCTATCACGATGAGCGGCGCATTTTTCCAAATTATCTCCCGCAGCTCAGGTGCCTCACGAAACAAAGCCTAATATATTTATACATAGTGTTTCTTGATTTATTCGCCTCATTCCCTCCGTGAATATTTCATTGGGTTACAAATGGTCGGCGTTATTATTATTTTACCGGGCGCATTTCGGTCCAGGTATAAGGCCCTTAATTGGCTTAGCTCAACTGATGCTAACCGGGATTTATTTCTCTTTCAACAGCACTTGTCACTGATTATTTTACCGGATACGACCTCCTATTTATCAGTGTTTACGGTCTGTAATGTCGACGTAATTTGTCGGACCGGCTCTAACAAAAATGGTTGCTTATGCGCTTTTAAAACGTCTAATTTAATTGTACGTGCGAATTATTTTAAGAGGGGTTTTTGCGGTTCAACATTTGGTGATTCTTTTATTATGTTTGTAAAATAATAGATGAGTTTTAAATGGTGTATAGGGTTGGAAATGTATGTATAGGTACAGTGAAGTTGTTTGTGTGCATTAATCATTTCGTTTTGCTCTTTACGATGAAATGATTCCGAATTTCATTCACTATACCAGTAGGTATTTCATTAACGGAAACTTCATATCTCCGTTTACAAATTATATAATGTATTCCATTCCTCGCCGCAGCCAGTTGAGACACGTACATTTTCCAGTTAATTTACCCGAGGAACGTTCGTACGTTTCTCCTCTTTTCGCCTCTAATTCTTTGCCGAGGGGATGAGGCGTTACCTCACGTTAATATTAATAAAACTACTTAGCGAGTGCATATGTATAGAAATGTGTATTTACCCAAATGAAGGAAATGGCTTTGTGCTTTCAGCAAATATTAATGATTCACGGCGGGTTGGCGTGAATTACACTAAAATAGGCGTTTTTATATTATGTAAGGTACCTACATTATACAGGAAAAATTATGCCGCATCGAATTACTCCTAATTAAACCGAAACAAACGGTTTACGTTACTAATTATTCGTTGCTAACTCATTCGGCTTTAGTATCGGTAATTGTATTGTATTCGCACAAAGAGCGCCGTTCGTCCATTGTTCTCCCATCCAGATAGACGTTGAATTTTCGAAAACTCCGCTTTTTGTCCGGGGCCGACGGATTTAATTCGAAAATCCGTTTCGCCGCTACACCACTGATGCGACCACAAAGGCCACTCCAAACGTCTCGTACGTGTGTCGTTGTAATTTCTGCATAGTGCGTCGCAGCCCCTCTAGCGCAAATACGAAACCGAAATAAATTAGAGGAGACCTTACGTCGCGACGCCGGAGGAATGCCGATGGAGACAGATTTGTTTTGCGTTGTTGATTAAAATTTCGAAAAATGTCGATGTCGACAAGAGAGATAATTTTAGAATCATTTAGAACTGTGCAAGAACTGTTCATAAGCATTCAAAACTATCTACAATTGTCCAGAATCGTTGAGAACCATTTTAGAACCGATTATGACCATTTTTAACAGTTCTCATTAACGAGGAAATTCCTTCTAACTTGTACTATCAAAATCACCATAATCTATGTCGAAGGAATCGATGTATATATGAGTAATTTTAAAACGTTCTATAATCAGTGAAGTGAGTGAGCATTCCGGAATTGCATACCTACTTTCCGGCAATTTATTTTCGAGTAGTCTACTAACTTTCAGACTCGAGGCACATCACATTACGGTTAATTTATATTTTTCCTTCTCCTAAAAGAACAAGTATCAAAGTATAAGGGCACTCGAAACGACTGTTGTCTTCATACTGACGATTATAAAAGTCGAGATATATTTTATTTATGTTTATCGTTTTTTTCTCCGGTGGCGCTTTCCTTCCGCGTTTTACGTTTTTTTCAAGATGCCACAACTGTTGAGCCGCAATGTAATAATTTACTTCTGCGACTGCGAGTCGTTGCTTCTTATGTAAAACCCCGCGTTTTATTTAAACCGTTACGCTTCTCCTTTTTCGAGGAAACATTAATGCATATTAAAATACATGGAAACCGCCATAAAAGATTTCGAATAATAACGCGCTTTATTTTCGAGAGAAAAACCCGCGGTGTTTTTTTACTTTTTGTCGAACTAATGGCGTCCGAGCGAACACCGAACGCCAATTTACCGAGCGAATTCGTTCACTTCGATATTTTACAGATAATTGAATTCGTAAGTTATGAAACTCCAAACAGACATTTCGTTAACTGATAAACCGAAATTGTTTCCCAAGTTCGTACGGCAGAAATTATCTGAGAAGCCAATCAATGATAAATTATCGTTCGGCGCAAGTACGGAATTCAAGTGAACTGGAAAAAGGGATTGTTCATCATAATAATTTCCTTATTATTACAAACTTCTCAAATTAATTACAGCGGAAACTCGAAGCTCCGATTAAAAAAATAATAAAACAAACGTAGGTATCAGTGTACGCATAATTTTTAATTCACCCTCTCTCTACCTGTCACGTCGCGACGACTACAAATAACCGACACGAAATAAATTTGTTATTCGGATGCCGTGGACCCGAAAAAATCGGTTTTCCATACGTGATAATAGTATTTTCCAAAAGGGGAAAATTGATGAACCGTGCCGTGATTACTTTCGATGGTTGAAAGGTTGGTTGAGAGCTGAAAGGGGGCGTCGGCGTCGCGACGGGACCGTCGAGTTTTTTTTTATTCACCTCGACAGCCCGGTAATCCACTAGTGCAATTTTTCCAGTAGAAAGTGGAGCTTTTTATACATACAGGATGAGCCAAAACTTGAACTTATATCACTCATCTCATCACACTCTGTATAATGATCCATAATTAGAGCAAACACGTGAAGAATCTCCGTTTATAGAAGAATTGAATTGTCAAATTGTCGTTTATCGTAAACGAAACCGAACATTTCCAAACGGACGGTCGCCCGATAGGAAATTACGCCACAATTTGAATTTGGAAACGACGATTTCATTAATGAAGTATCAAATTGCGCGGAAACCGGATTAATTTCACACTACGCTGAATTAAGTTATCTAATCTAGGTGCGAAAAAGGCCAAATGAATAGAGGAATTGAAGAAATTAACTTTAACGTCCAATTCAAAATTATTATTACAAAGGAATATAAAATGTCCAATGATGATACCGTTTGTTCTAGTAAATTATTCTTTTATACCAATAAATTCTTTAAAAGAGTACATTCTTGTACAATACAAATTACTTCATAAATTTCTCTCTAGTATATTCTTAATCAATTAATGTTGCACCTTGTGTTCGTATATTACAATTTTCACCAGTAGATTCTTCTCTAAGTCTCTTTTCCAGTAGATTATTTAGCAAGTTGTTTAATTTTTATAATAAAAAAGCTTCCAAACGGATCCTTCTTCACCACTAAATTCTCCAATAAATTACACTGCGTATAATTCTTTTGTAGCGACTTTTCTTTAGTGGATTGTTCAATAATTAAACCATCGAATAGAGTGAATTAATTTTTTTAAAACACTGCTCCCATTAGAACATTCCCGGAATTTTTTCGCAATTACCCTAATTCGAGTAAATTAAACCTAAGCCTCGAAAAAACCGCCCGACTTCGCCTTGATGTGTAAAATGATAATTAGCCTAATGAAAACCGTCTTAGAGGGGAATTTTTACCGCACCGCCCCGACCCCTAAATTAATCCCGTATATCTCCGGGTTGTGATTCCCGTTCCTTCGCGGAGCTCCTTCACCCGACGCTAAGTAGGTGAACAGTGTACTGAACAGTAGGCATAAAGCGAAATTAAACATTGAGAAATAGGCTTACCGCATCATTAATAAATTCGGAACGAGTCGTCTGTTCATCAGCACGGCGGCGCCATTTCCCCACCGACCAGGACCGAACAATAAAACTCTCTATTTAGTGGTACCTAGTGTACTTACGGTTTATTAGATATTTTATTTACAACAGTATGGTGAAGGGCAGGTGCAGTACTGCGCTGGAGGGCACGGGGATTGGATGCACGACATGAGGCACACCATCGACTTGCCCGGAATTTGGGCCGCTTGAAGGAGCATACAAGCTAACGAGTCGCAGCATTCGCTGCACGCCGTACAGCAGAAGGCTATTATATACAAGAAACCAGCGACCATCGCTATCGGGACGCCGACGGTGACGCCCAGGACGCAGCACACCGTCCGCAAGCAATCCTGCGGCATTTCGGTTCGGTTTAGTGGGAATTTTCATGGACAAAAATATCGCCTCGCCAGCGATTCTGTAGGTGACATCGTTATGGTGTGACAGTATTGAATTGTTTCTGATCGTTCGCTTGGTAGCATATGAACTACTAAGTACGGATATGAATCGTATTGTGGCTGGTGTAGTATCTAAACAAAGGCCTTTAGTTTAAGACAAAACTAGAATGTCTATATGTCTTGAGAAGTGCACCACTTCTTATCAAAGTCAACAAACTATTTCAAACCTTATAGTATAAGAATTTAATTTAATTCTCTTAATTCTCGTCCATTTATATGAGATCTACCCACTTTAAATAAGGAAGCAGACTGACAGAATACAGTACATGTTTCGATTATAATGCTGTAGCTTCTTCGCTTTAATTTATAGACCATGTTCTAATTATACGTCCCAAAAAGATCTTACCCGATTCGCACACGTTACTAATTATTCGTTCTCTTTATTCAATTTTACGAGGAATAATAAATCTACAGATAGGGAGCTCTTCTCTCAGATTATTTAATCATAACTAGTGAAACGGTGATGAGTATTATGAGGACTTGTGCCCATTAAATAATCGATTGATATAATGAATTGTTTATTTTATTTTATTTCGTAAAAAATAGAGAAATACTGGCATAATAATGAAACGTTGTCTTTCTGATAAGGCAACCCAAATACACATTTTACTGAAGCATCGATAAATAAATTATTAGCAGGAAATTAACGGTTTTAGTCGATATTACGTTGGGGCAAAACATAATTACGTATTTTATATTTTATATACCTTGGCTAAACTTTTAACTTCAACTACTCCCTGCGACATTTAAGCGTTAATTCGGTTTCTCTTCATCAGCTTTACTCTCTTTCTATTTTCGCGCGGCAGCCCCATCTATTCTCGAAATTATTATCGCAGTTTTACTACGTAATTTAGGTTTAATCAACGTCCCGTGTAAATTTAATTTTAGTAATCGTATTAGTTCGTAAACTGAAGTTTCGTAAGAACGTTAATATTTTTCCTAGCCGAAAAGGACCTTAATCTTTTTGCGTTATTTTTCACTTTACATCTCGGCGGTTTGCATATTTAAGCGGTCCAATTTATTTCTCTTTGAAGTCGCGGGTGAAGTTTATGAGCTATTACCTGTCGCTCTTATTAATTTTTTTTAATAACCCCGTCTTGTAATCGAGCCAGCCAGCGCGCCTATACAGCTTTGATATTTCTATCTTTATACATTTCGGTGGAAAATTCTAACACTTTATATCCGAAAATTATTGGTGTTTCGTTCAAAAAAAATGTTTTATTGCATCTTTCGCCTATTTAATTCACGGCAAATAAATAATTCAACTGAAACAAACCGGATTGTCTCGTAAAATAGCTACCTACCGCTGAGCTGCCATGTGGTTTCAATTCTGGTAGGACCATGTTTTTCCGTAATTAGATAGAATTATGTTAATTTACCACCAAAAAAATTAGGGTGGATCGGTACATACAGACCGATAAAATTAAAATTGTACCAGTCACGGTCGACTTTAGGGTGATTTATGGTAAAAAATATATAATAATAGAACTGAGGATAATACTTAGTAGGTACTCATAAGGATGGCTTATTTATAAATTGAGCAATCCTTTACAGTTTAATCTCTTTAACTATACTAAATATGCTAATTAAGATATTATTTCGATATCTAACACATCCAGGCGTAGAAGAAAAATTAGCCACAGCAACAAGATGTCGCCGCATTTCTCCTATATTTTGATTGATTGAGGTTATGCGTGATTTATTCGGTTATTCAGCCAGTGCCGGCCGACAACGTACCACCGACAGCTATTTACCCTTGTTAAATCGATAGGTCCTTATGATATCCCCGATTACAATGCCGATATCGAGTTTCCTTATACTCGACGTGCATTAAGTTCATTGCATAATCGGTTTCGATATCAAGATTTTATTTAGATTGTTGCGAGTAGCCTGTAACGATTTGTACTCACACTTTGCTTCTTTTTATGCAACGATAATCGGTATTTCTACATTAATTAAAGCGTGTAAAATGAGCTGTATGAATGAAGCGGTGTAGTGGGTAGGTAATTCAATACAGCGGTGATAACCGTATCGGTATCGAACATGTCGTTGCGTGCCAGGTGTCCGGACATCTGCTAACGTTGTACATATTAGCCGGCCCGTAATCTTGGGGGCATTCGGGTGCACGCAGGTCGAGGTAACGCCCTTCGCCGGTCAACCGACCAGGAAGAGGCCGGTTGGAAATTCGTACTTGGTGGATTTCGTTCTGCGAATGTGTACGCAAAGGGGAAATTTAAGTGATGACTTGGCGGGTCACGCCATGGGTGCGTTCATTGATCGGATCATTAACGAGCATTTATCGGCGGCGTCTGGCTGAAAAATTAATTTTTTTTTACGAAACGTTGAAAATCGTTGTGCGTACGCTTTAATTTCAATTAACTCTTCGCTGTAATTAATCCTCCTAATTGACGATAGAGCAGTCGAGACGAGCTCGCTTTCGTTTCGTTCCCAGTTTGTTTGTTTATGGAGTGCATCGCATGCGATTTTGAAATGAAAATGTAATTTGAAAAGTACCTCTTGTACGCTTTGCGTAAAACAAACAAGTACACGTCGCGTTTTATTCGCATAGTCTTCTTCAAATACTGATATAATTTACAAGTTTAATCTCGTCTAGACGGTTCTTCGATAAACCAACACTTTACATTTATTCACAAATCGAATGTTTATTCGACTGTAACAGAAGATTTAAATAGAAATAAGATTATCTTATATCATCCTGAAAGTATCCGATTAACCACTGTTTCCAATTTTCTCGGATCATACAAGGATACGGTTTTCCGTGACACAACATCCTGCAAAAATATCAAAGTAAATTTTATTACAGGAACTCGCAGGATTTCGGATTCGTCGTCGAACGGACGTTTCCTGTTAGTCTGTTTGCTTAGATTGAACTCGAAACACGGAAAACGAAATTGAAAAACATTTTTGTTTGCTCATTCAAAGATAAACGAATCCTTCGGAAGACTCTTTATACCACTATAGAAAACAATTAGTGCAGTCGATACGCGCTACAAAATGAGTCACAATACGAAGATTGTCATAGAAAGGTTGGCTGAGGTCTCCTGTCGCAAAGGGCCAAATGGAACGCGGCACGATAAGCGCCAATAAACATCTGGCTGGCCACTCAATTCAATATCCGATCCGGCGAAATAACAAACTTGGCGAGAAGCTGACTCGTATATATCCACAACATGCCGGCGACGGAATAGTTCGATTTCCATTCTCCGCGCCGGAAAAACGGCCAGATGCGAAATTAATTTTCCGATTTCCATCCGAGAGTATAGCGTAAGAATAGCCAAACACACTGACACAAAGTCAAACCCTCGTCGCTCTCGCGCGCGATTTCAATTAGCGCGAAACTCTTCCGTTTTTCCGGGTTTATTTTCCGATAACTCTCCGGCTACTACCCATACTAAATAATTCAACCGCGATTTCCGCCTCGCGTTCGCGTCGGCCGTATTTACATGACAGGTAGATTGATGCGGAGACTGCGGATATTATAATTTTAAAAATAGGAGAGCCGGAGAGGGCGGAAAGGTTCGCGAAAATTCTCCCGCAGGTGAACCGCCGATGCCAGATATTGTTTGCTCTTCGCTCCTAAATTGATATTTATTTCGATTCTTTGCGGCGGATGCCAAACGGGCGCTAACATCGGGTATAAAGCGAGCTTATTATGGACTCTGCAACGCGGAAACGCGCCGGAATTTAATTCAATTAATCAATATTTTGTTCGGTATTGGTGTATTGTTGATTGTAGAGAAGTAGAGATGTGGAAGATGTTATAGATTATGAGAAATATTTTATGGTATCTCCAAAAACTTAAAACCAGATACAACTTCTACCAATTCTATATCTAAGAAGGTCAAATAATTCCCTTTATTCCCAGGAAAAGGGGAATCCCCAAGCTTCAATGAAATAGCACCAAATGCCTATACAGAGCCACCATAATTAAAAAACCGGACGAAAGAAACGTAATTGCCTTCGATAGGTCAATCGTCCGGTCGGCGCTGCATTAATTTGCGCTGAAAGTCTGGATATTATCTGGTCCGAAGTTGGAAAGGCCGGGAGACGAGCCGGGGAGTTGGTTTAGCGAGAGGTTGGTCGTTTATAAGCACGATTAAACCGCATCAACTAGACGCCGCTGGATTGCGGAATATTAGCTAGGGGACGGAGACCGGTGCTATGATACTTTGTAATTAATTATCTCGGAGAGTGTAATTGGAATTTTCGTTCGGAATTGGCCATCCTCTCGATTAATATTTACTGACTCGTAGTTTAGTGATATACCTGCGTTTAATTTCAATGTTCAGCATTGTTTGGAATATTGATAAGTTTTTGATAAATCAGATGATACTACAAATTTCCAATTGAGCCCCTATCTTTAAGTAAAAATTCTGGATAATCTCATCCTATAATATTAATCCTATCTCATCTTGTGATGGTCTCTTACTAAATAACTTCATAAAGAAAATTTGGTAGAGACAGTAGAAGAAAGAAATAGTTGTAGATAAATTAACAAATTCGTTTACAAAAACATTTCTGGACGTTTTGACAAGAGATTTTCGTGACGATCCCATAACTGTGTTTATGAGCGGGGTGTTTTAATTTAGCCGTTATAATTGAATTATGACCGTAACGCTGGTATAAATCAACAAAATTGTTTTCATCAGTAGTGAAACCCTCTTCAGTTTAATCAATTTTCGAAACGGTTTTCAGACTTTGCTCTAATAGCGGACGGTCAGTCCGCAACGTTAATGGAATATACAGCAATAGAGACGCTAAAACTAATTAAAAAGTATCTTAATGGGTTGTTGACCCATATCTGGTTGAAATGAAACGAACAGTCGAAGCGTATGTAGGCCTAATTAGATAGGCGTTAGTTAGGTGAAGTTGGTGGAGAGGTA